AGGCACCGTTTGGACAAATCATGTATGAATAAGTCATTTGGATTGTTATACGGACGTCGAACACGATTGTATTATATCGGCAGATTGAAAATTAATTGTCATGGGTCGACGGGCTATGTTGTCGGTGATAATGCTAGTCGACGCGACTTTTTTTTCTATAAATTAAACGCCGAAGTCGAAGCGTGATAATGAAGCGATCAGGACGTAATCTCTGAGAGCACGGTTGTATGCGAATTTCTCGTTCGACAAGTTGGAGAAGTGAGAGAGGAAGAGGGAGAGCAATCTGGGGAAGAGGATGCTTACCTCGTAAATCATTGGACATCGATAAGAGTCGTTGCGGCGTCCGTGCGATGTCCCTCGTTAATAATTGACACAATTAACAACCATTCATTAGAACTACTCGTCTATACAGGCTCAGAATGTGGCAATTCTCGTATCCACATGACGCAGTTTACATTTTGTTGATCTGTTTTCGCTCGACTATTACGACGGACTTAGCGCATGTCGCGTTTCGATCGATCTACCGTCCATCCTTGTGTCATTTGAAAATTAATATCTTGCGGTTTACACCGGTTACGCGGCGCATTGCTTGCTCGTAATTTTATTTTACTCCACATCTCTGGAATCATGTGCCTGGACTTGATTAAAATCGATTCAGATGATTATTTCAACTGTTAATCGCAATATCACGCCGGCAGTGTACATACCATTTATGTACTTGACATGAGACTTGCGCGCGGGACACGATAATTTCGCGAGAATCGAGGCGATTTTGTTAACAGTTTTATGCGCTTTTAGAATTATTAGTGTTATATCTAATTGCTCGTTTTTACAGGGAATCGGAGAAATTGTGGCACGCATTTCATTTCTTTCGAACATGCCCGCGAGTTATTTCTATATTTAAGCGTAGAATCGCTTCAAAAGTTATTGCATCTTTCGGTTTTCTAGCTCTCTGTGTCTGATTGTTTCCTTCGATCAAACTTTATTCTTCTTATGTGTCTGGTTCCATTGTGCGTCTCCTCACGGGCAACGAAGGTACACGTGACGATGAGAAGTTTCGTGCGAATCCATAGGAGGTACTCGAAGCGCTCTTTAATTAATTAGGTTTTTTTAATTGATAACGATGCCTCCCGCCAACGTGGCTGCGTTTATACATATGCAATACGAATTTTATGAATTCTTTTCCGCGCGAGCGAATGCCCGGTCCTCGCGCACAATCGACCATTTACTCTCGTTTGCCTTCTCTTTTTTCTCTGTTTCTCTCTCTATCTGACGATCTCTTCGGTAATCTCACTTTCGCTCGTCAGTCGCCATCTCGTTCCTTTTTCCGCCGTTGCGCGCGTATGCGGACTAATTAATATGAGCTGTATACGAGCCCATCTGCCCGACAAGGTCCACCTATGCGGGTACCGACCTGACTACGCGATATAACGATCTCATCAAGGTCGTATCACGACTTCACCGTACTTTGCTGGAAGTGTTGAAAACGACTGGTATATTTATGCGCGAAGATTTATGCCGAGCGGCCGAGATCGAATTTAATTTCTTCAAAAATCGTTTGCAATCAATTATAAGATGCTAATCGTGGTGCTTTAACGAACCGCATCACGGAACGGATTGACCTGCCATGCGAATTTTTTTATTTATTATTCCTTTAACCTTGATACTTACCTTAATTTCAAAATTTACATTTATATTAATAATGACAGTTATGTGTATACGTTCCAATTATAAAAGAACGTTGGCAACACGTTATTTAATATATGGATGTACATATAATGGAATCGATTGGCGTAAAAGTGGGGCAGTGGTGCTTGCATTTACGTCACTAACAGCATCCAGTTAATTTTGTCAATTTAAAGAATGGTGTATATAGGTATTAATTGTGGGAATTTCAACGACAAGTGTACATACATTCTTCATTATCCGCAAGAAATGAACGAAGATATATGCTTATTGATAATTCCATTATTGTTACATTCTATTGTTCTCCTTATGAAATAATGGATTAATATATTTTTTTATTAATGCTTTTGATGTTATAGTACTTTTTAAAAATAAAACTAATATTTTTTATATTAGTTTATAAAACGATTCGACATGATTTTCAAATTGAATTTATTATCAATAGACTCTTCGATTTTTGTCTTCAATGAATGGGCAATTTCGGATATTCACGAAATATCCATGAATTCTCACCAGATGTTTGGAGTACAGTATCCGCGAGGTGTGAAATCCCAACCTACTCTCATTTACACTTTCGTACGTGTGCATCGCGTATTTCGCGCATATATCATGCATTCGTCAGTGCAACATGCATCACGCGTCACGGTGTAGTGACACTCGAGTGGAAGTGACCGTGGAAAAGAAAGATAAAAGGAAGCAACACACACGGTGACGAAGGAATGAGAGAGAGAGAGAGAGCGCAAGGGGAGATTCAAAGTAGGGGCACCCTTCATCATCGGGCATTGCTTCCGACTGCGTCGTCCCTGTCGGCTTATAAATAACACCATCTCCCCGTTTCTTCGTGTGTTTCTCAGTTTTTCTTCTTCCTCCTCCGACTCGGGCCTTCTGCCTTCCCTGCCTCTGGGAGATACTTGGCCGCTCGCAAGCCTAATTAATAACACGTGATGAGCGATCGTGGCAAAACCTCCCGAGCCGAAAGATCGCAAGCGGAGCAAGAGAGCCGACGAGGAGAATATAAGAGAGAGTGAGTGACGGGAGTGACGTGGCCTGGACTAAACATCACGAAGAGCTTCATTCGCGATAGTTACAGACAAGCGTACTGTTGTGGATGGTCTACATACCAAAAAAATGAATATATCATTTATGTTTCGATGAAATTAAAAATTTTCTTGCATAACTATTACGAAGAAACGTATAGAGTTGTAAAATAATTTGTCGTAATCAAGTATGATATGCTTATAATTTTATATTTTGCGCGCACTTTAAATTCATACATTTCTTAGTTTTTATAAAAAAATATCAGTTCGATTATGGTCGAAAGATAAATTTACGAATTTCTTATAAACTTTACAAATTCGTATGTCAGAACGGAAAATATTCGTGATGTTGTTCTCGCACGATCGGTTAATGACGAGTATGCACGAGAGCTCGTGCTACGTCGTGGTAACTACATCGTTATTGGTCGGGGAAGCAACAAAACCGTCGGATATAGAGAACACATTGTGTATAACGTCGGAGGCGAGAAGGAGAGACGAGAAACACATCGTGGCGAATCGTCTTCTCGCACCATCTCGCGAAGGAGCACCCGGGTGTTCTGTGTTGTGTGTTCGTTACTGGACCGATACCATCTTCGCTTTTTCTCCCCCCCCTCTCTCTCTCTCTCTCTGTCTGTCTCTCTCTGTCTCTGCCTCATCGCGTTCTTGTTTCTTTTCTTATCTACTCTCGCCCTTTCCCCTTTCTTCCTTACTGCTGTCCGTTCGTCGACGAGGAGGAGCCCTGAAGTGTCGAAGACCCGATACATATTCCTTTGACGCTGCGGTCCGTCGTATGTCACAACTGTTCTTTATTCTACTAGCAATTTCGATTTTTCGCTATCTGATAATTTCGATACTAAGCAAATCAATTTCCAAATAGGATTACCTGTAATATTTTCGCAAGTATGGATGCATAGTAATGTCTGTACCTACTTTATTATACACGATACACGAATTTTTTTTATTATTGCTACTTTCTTTGATATAAACAAATTATTAATAGGAAAGTAGCATATAAAAATAGATTTTTTAGTAAATGCATGAATCTCATAATCATCTGTTTTATTATACTCAAAATATATTTTTTTCTCTATTTATCTTATACATATACTGAAATGCATTTCGTCGAAGTGATATCTCGTCCACTTGTCATTCGTGGTAGTTACAGACCCGGTGTTGTACATGCCTCGCTTAGAGCGTATCCTTCCATGGCGAAAGGATGATGAGGAGGTGGTAGGTAGGCCTCGGATGAGACCACTATCTCAGAGAGCACTCATCGCGACCGCTTCGTTATCGGTCGCGCAGAATCATAATGGACCATAATTGCATAAATATAATGTTAATTAACAATTAAGATTGCCGCTTTGCCTAATTGAATCGCCGCTTCTGCTGTCTCCGAGAGAAAACGACGTTGCCGCAACGTACGGTCTCTTCTTCACGTAGAGATTGCGTAGGGGGATCTCGGGTGGTCTTAAATGTTAATGGCGTATCGGAAAATTATACCGACGGTCCTTCCGAGGACGTACCTTTGATATTGCGAACGCATCTCTTAAAAAAGAAGGAGAACAATTATTGCCTTTCGATGTCGCGGGCATATTCGCTTATCGAACTTATAATTCTGGTATTTTTTCTAAGCGTTGCGACAGACACGCGTTGCATACATCGTGCGATTGGATACATCGCAATAAATTTCTCTCCGGAAGTATATTTTGTATAATTTTTATTTTTGTTAAATTTTTTTTTTTGAAAACTTGAGGAAATAGAAAAGATCATTAATCGACGATTAATGAACGTTCTCTGTTGGCCTCTTGTAGCTTTCTGGTCATTTACACCGCGATATCAAATGTACGCTTTGCGAATTTCGCATGACCGGATTCAGATACGCAATTAGCAAAACGCAGATGCAATAATAATGAATTCCCGTTAATAACCGTCGCGCCGCTGCAACTATCGCTGTTTCATTGCGACGACGATATTTACCGGAAGAGATAAATGAAAGTACGAGTGCGCAAATAAAAAATAAAAGTCGAATTCGCGCTGGAGAACTGTGATCGTCGATCTGTTGCCGAGCTGCCGTTGACGATGCAACAGCGCGTGGTTAAATCATGTCTGCTTCATGTTCCTTCTATCATCCTCCTCGATCCCTGCAGCCTTTCCTTCGTCATTTCTTCTCCCTGGCCTCTTCGAACCAGCCTCTTTGCCTCTTACCATCCAATGTCTTTTTTCTGCCTTTGCGTTTGGCGAATGTATTTTATTCAATTCTTTTTTTTCTCGTTTCAGATGGTTCAAGCGATTCAGGTCCTCCGGTTTCACCTCCTCGAGCTCGAAAAGGTGAGTATTCTTCACGTCTGCATTATAAGGCTTATAATGTTATTATCAATCCAACTGATGTGAGTGCGATACTGTAGTCATTCTTTCATTATACCTCCATCTTTTCTCCGTGCCTCTAAATTTGCCCTCGTTAATGGAAGCACACGATTAAAGAAATTAGCAGACGCGCGCTGCGAGAGATAACAAGGCGGCTGTGGGTGTATTCTTCGAAAACGATACTGCGAATGCTGTGAAATGGTACTCGATACTCGGTTACCAGTACGTGTAAAACGGGCTTCCTCACGTGCGTCGAACCCCTACCCCTCAAGTCTGAAGACGAAACGCGGCTTGGCACGCCATCGATGGTAACGGAGATTGAAACGTTTCTGGTCCCCGGGGCCTCTTCTAGACAAGACGAGACGCGAACGAGCGGAGCGGAATGCAGCGGGCGCGATGAAGAAGATTCCATAAATATCTGTGCTCAAAGTGGAGGAGAGAAAGACGAAGAACGGAGAGTGAGATAAAGAGAAAAGAGAGGGAGAGAGAGAGAGAGAGTAGCGTAGAGAACTGCAGGAGAGAGGGAACCAATGGAGGCAGGCTCATGGTAGCCCGCGGTGCTCTGCCTCGTGCATTTAACATTTTCGAACCAATCGCGTATTAGCATAATTACGTTTTGCCGGGCCCGGTGCGCGGAAGGAAGGTCCGGTCAGGCCCTTTTCCCATCTCTCTCTCGCTCTCTCTCTCTCTTTCTCTTCGCGGCATTTTCTGATGGCGCGGCTGTCTCTTTTTCTCTCTTTCTATCATGCTGCTCGCGCTCTTCTCTTCTTCCATCGCAGAACTCCGGACAACCGCCTCCCATACACCGGTTAGAGAGCGGTAAATTTCTTATGGGATATTATGGCGTACACAGTGCATACCAACGGGATTCGTACTGGTACAGCACGCGGGCGACCTCCTCCTGCCCGTGGACGTGCCGCGTACGGAACTGGTTCTAAACCTATGCCAGTGCACGTCGCTCTTTTCTGTTGGAATATCCTTGTGTTCCAACATGCATACGTACGTGCCTTTGGAATATTTGGATGCCTCTTACTACGGAATCTTGCAGTTGAAACGCTATGGAAATTAGATCTTAATTAACGTAACGTGATTTTTGTGCGTAAATTTATCCGTAGAATTAATGTAGAATTTGCTAAGATTTTTATTCGAATGGATACGGATTAATTTGATGAAAAAAATTCGGGACAGGTTTCTCAACCTTTATCGATACCACGATGAGAAAGGAAAGAAGCGAGGGTCCCGATCGTTCGCCGAGCACACCCGGTATATAGATATCCTGTGCGTGCCGTAAGGGTGGTCAGGTTGCGAATCGGGCCGCGAGAGAGGGAGACCGAGACAGACACCCCGAAACCTTCATTACCTTCGGCTTCAAAGGAGCCCATTGTGCCGTAAATGGGGTTCCCCGTGTTCCTTCTTTTCTACTCTCTCGCTCGTATGTACCTTGGATCCGTTCCATTCTTCGGCGTTTGCCTTTCCGAGAGTCCGTGAAGAGGCGAGGTAGGAAGGAAGAGGCGGATATAAGATAGGGAGACGTTTACCCGTTCTTTCCTTCGTTTACGTAAATTTTCGAGCAATTTCGAGACCGAATGAAAGACGGTACCGAGGTCTTCGAGTTCGTATAATGTCACAGCGCGAAGTACTCTCTTTCCTTCCATGACAACGGGGTGACTCGGAATAAGGGAGCATCGTTTAAATGTTCTCTTTGAATGGAAAACTGGTTTCGGAGTAGTTATTCTTTCTTTGTCTTTGAAACGATGTGTAAACACATGGGATAATCATACAATGATAACATATATAACGCTGTATGTTAACATATCATATAGATCATGTATAAACAAATTTTTTAATTAATCAAATTCAATTCAATTCTGCGCGTACTTCCGTGCAGTCCGTGTATGTAGTATTATTTTAAAGTAATTGTATTAGTTACATACTTGTACTTCTTCATATCATTAAAATTTAAATAAGATCAAAATCAGATATACTGTAGTAATTTTGTTCGCGATTTAGATTTTAATCCAAAATCTCGTACGCATTTGCCATGAGGAATATCGTCGAAAGCTGTATTAAACAGTACTCAATAAGTAACGCGTATAAAGACATCTTTGCGAAAGCGATTAAATTGTTAAATTACTCATGAAACGGAAATAATCTCAAATTACAGCTATTGTCAAATCTCTTGTGATATTTTTACATATTGCTAACATTATTTTGTGTTTTTCAAAAATAATTTTTAATATAAAATCTTATTATTATAATTCTCTTTAAGCAATCGTGTAGACGCGTGACTGTTTTATTCACGCAATTGATAACTTAAAAAGCAACCGGAAGACGAAATCGCTCATCGATTTCGAGTGGCTGCCGTTTCCGTTTTCGCTCGAGAACATCGATGGAAATAGTATTATCGTAGTTGTTTAAATCTTTAATCGTGGCGTCCTTACTAAAAGTTTAATTCGATCGATACTAACCCTCGATTCGAAATTGAATCGTAATTTAACTTGTGCTGAAACTTTAAGTAGCATATTCAGATCCCGAGGACTATTTTCGTATGGCGTCCAATTACGGACGTGGGGCGGGTTCGCAGCCCGAAATTTGTTTCGCTCGCCTTCGTTCGCCAGATAACGGGCCACTTTGTCGTATCGTGCACCACGAGATATTCTCGGACGACATTCTCTCTCCGAAAAGATCGGACTTAACCACGTTGTCCTTTTGCTGTTTCGATGACCGCCAAAAGCGATCTCGGAAAAGGGAGATGCGAGCGATCGAGCGTCCCATCATATCGCCAGAGACGACCTCCCTGTATCAGTTCCCTCTGAGATCATCGTCCATGGTATAAGATGACGCGATTCAATAGTAGGATAGATTGCAAAAATTCGCGTGCTCCAAGGCGATCGTATCATGTTCTATGTCATAGTTGAAATATCTATCGAGCCCCTGGGATATTCTTCTTCCGATACTTTCGTGACGTAATTAATGTCAGTTTTAGTTATTTTAATTAACATTAATCTGGCAAATTAATATCTTTTTGACAAATATTTTAATTTTATTTCGCTTTTCTGTAAAAATTATTATTCATCATTTATTTTTAAATCGATCATTTAAAATTGCAAAATGTGACAAAGTTGAAACGCATTTCTAAAATTTTAAAAGAATATTATTGAAGTAGTATCAAAGCGAAAAGGATTGATTCGATGCGTTAGACAGTGAAAAGGGGAACGCAGATCCTTTATTTTTTTTTTTCACTGTGAGCATTGTCGCTCGGTTCGACTCGACTCCCGGTGGATCAAATTCTAACCAGTTCAGCATTATAGCCGTTGTCCTTCAAAGTCCTTCGTCTCCTCCTACCCGCATTAAAGAGAGAGTTTAGTCATCCCAGGGAAGGCATTGTGTTACTGCATCGCGGTGGTACGTCGAGGCAAATAGCATAGGAAAAAAGTTCCGGTGCCGCGATAGAAGAAGCGCGGTCAACGGACCGGAGGTTGTTGCATTATCAGTCCCGATGAGAGGCCTCTCATTGTCAGTTTTGAAGGCAGGTAAACGAGCGTGACGAATGTTGGCCGATCGATGCGAAGTACATCGTCGTATAATAGTGACTTCGCATAATAACGCACATAACGATCTTATTGATCGCTCCTAATATCGTCATTGAATCATCTTTCGCGAATTAAGCGAAAACGATTCGATAATCTCGCAATCTTATCCAATATGCAAAATGTTGAATTATAGACTGGTGGTTTATTTGCGATGTCGATTATATCGACGAGTATACTCCAAGTAAGTTTCTGCGTGTCTATCGTTATAGGCGATGTACGCCTTTCATTTAATTTATTTTTCTCACTTGGAGCAATCAAGAGCGAATCGCTCATCGCCGAGTTTCTTGGTCGGTCGGGGGAAACCCAGTTGCGAGTCCTCTCGCATGCGCTTAACGGATGGATAAACACGCGCATTGTCCTACGTTCGTGTTCTCGATGCACGCCACCATTGGACGGTGCCGCCTACGGCAAAGATGGCCGTCTTCTCTATTATATATAAATGCTTAATAAGAGTGTTGTAAGTGAACTCTAGGCCGATAAAAGTGGACAAGGTAATGCGTGCAAGGTAGCCCCAGGAACGAAAGACGATGGAAGAGAGGGCGTACGTTTGCGGGGGCCGCGGCTTCGTAATATCTCTACTCGCCGACGATTTACATATAACAAGATAACGAATTTTATTTGCTTTTGTTTATATAATACGTTTATTCTAAACGGAATCAAGGAGGATAGGGCGAATCAGGCAGGAGGATAGGGACGGGGAGTAGGGCGAGGGTTAGAGGATGAGTCGAAAGGGGGACGGAGGAGGACCGGCTATCCTATAGGCCTGTCAGGCTTCATTTGCATACATAACATTCTGGTCGACTGGACACCGGTCAGATCTCCTCTCTGTCTCCCTTTCTCTCGCACTCCTACATTCGTTGCATCGGTTTCTCTTCAGCTACCAGACCGCTTCCATGGCCCTCGAGATGCGCGTACAATCCTTCTCTTCCATCTTCGTGTATCGATACGCTGCGTTCGAGCCCGCTGTTGATCGGACGTCTCTCTTTTATTTCTTTTTATTTCTTTCTTTCTCTGCGCCTCACACCACAGTAATACGTACTCTGCATCGGTTGGATTCATTCGATGGAATCGTGTCTATTAATCATTTCCGGCGACGCGGTTAATCAGCCGCTTCCCGTTGGAAAGTATCTTTTGAAAAACGGTATCTTAGTTCTCCAATGGAGAACTGATCTAATTGGTTCTCGTGACTAACGAATGTTCTTTCTCTCTCATTCGCATTCCAGGTACACGAGCTGTGCGACAACTTCTGCCACCGGTACATCAGCTGCCTGAAGGGCAAGATGCCGATCGACCTCGTGATCGACGACCGGGAGAGCTCGAAGCCACCCGAGATGGGTAACGGTCTGGACGGTAGCGGACCCAGAAGCACCGCCGACAGCACCAGCCATACGGACGGGGCCAGCACGCCGGACGTCGTGAGTACCTCACCATCGTCAACGTCTTTCTATCCGCACGACGCGCTCACCCCCCACCATCACCATCACCACCATCACCATCACCAGAGCCAGAATAATAACAATAATAATAGTAATCACGCCGGAATCGGCAGTACCGCCACTACCACCCCCCTGCAACTGAGCAACCAAAACCAAAGCCAAAACCACCACCCTGCGCCGCAGTCGAACACCACCACTACTACTGCTATTACCCCAAGTAGCGCCGCCACAACTCCCAACTCCCTAAAGCGTTCGCACCAACAGATGATGATGGCAGCCGCGATGGCCACCTCGCCGCACGCAGCCGCATCCGCGCCCCCAGCGCACGCGCACGCCGCCCTCGCCGCCTACCACAGCATTAACTCGGCCGTTTATCCGTGCTCGTAATAGACCACGCGACTTCCGTGCCGATTTCGCGAGATTTCTTCTTCTTCTCTCTTATTCTTCTCGCAACATTATTCTTCTCATTGCTTATCTTCATGATTCTACCTCTTCTTTTTGCCATCGTGTTTCGCTACTTCATCCTCTTCGTGTGGTTTATCTAGCGTCCGTTCGAATAGACGCGTAGGATGATGCGTAGGAATATCTCATAGCGCCATTTCCTTTATAGAATCGGTCGCGCTTCCGATCGATTCCGTCCGTCCTTTAAGGGATGATCGATCTCTCTCTCTCTAATAAAATCGAAAGTGACGATCTGTATGCCGTAATAGTCGAATCGCGACTAACAGTAAACTAAGTAGCTGGTGCTCTTTGACTCGCCTTCATGGCGAGATCGTACACGCGTGGGAGTCGAAACACACAAATCTATGCTAGGGCAAACGGACCTATAGTACCGTCTCACTGTATAGTAAGACGGTATCTAGCACCTGATCGATGTCGAGACGCAAGTATGCGTGGGTAGCAGCTTCTGGAGTTCTGTTAACGTCCTCGACCTTTCCAGAAAGAAAGGAGTATTCGAAGTTTGAGGTAGAATACGCTAAATCGCAGACTCTACGCGAGCAATAAAGGGTCTTGTATTGTTGGATCGGCGCTACTTGTTGGCTACTTTTAGTATATTTAATTTCTATAAGTATTTCGAATTGCGAAATACTTTCCGCGAACGGAGGATTAATTTTTTCAACACTCGACTTATTTTGTGTTCGTTCATTCTGACTTCTTTTTATTATTTTGTTGCCTATACATTAATCGCTCGAAACTGTAGAATTTATTTATTCTTATTAAATATTTTTGTTGTTAATGTTTCTCGATAAGATATTAATATTACGTATATATAAAATTATAAGGGAGAAGATAGGAAACTGGATAGAGAAATTATAATCTTATTGTCAGTAAAGTTGCATGTTGGATCCATTGTCTTCTTGGATCCGTCAGATGCCTTCTATTTTTTTGCGTTACTCCCACATACTTCTTGCGACAATTAAGCACGCGCTTCATCAATTTACGCAAGTCTTCGTTCAACCGTTCCATAGATCCGACGCGGATTCGATTACATAAGGTTTCGTTTCGTGGCGTGGTAGAAGAATGTTTCTAAATCTGTTTCGTGCCAGGGAGGCAGCGGTCGTCCGTTGACATCGGTTTCTCGAAGCGATCCGCTTTCAAAACATATTCAAAGATATTCTCGCCCGAAACCTCGTCTTGGAAACCAGTCGTAATGGGCTATTATCGGTGCGAGAGCGCCGAACGAGCTTGCGGCTGCTTCGCAGCCTTATGCAACCAATTCCACGTTTTGCTCTTCGTGCGGTTGAAACGTGGTCTAGCTGTTAGCCATATCTATCTGCTAGCCGATAGTTATCGGAAATAAAACGAAATACGCAGTTCGCGCGCGTAAACTTCTTCGAGAGCGAAACGTTTGTTTCATCTCGTGTTTCTTTTTTTCTCTTATTCTCTACAGCCTTCTCTCCTGTCTCTCCTTGAAGGTTTCTCGCGACACATGGCACGATGGACGGGACAGACGTGCGAGATATTTGTATAAAAGAGTAGGCATATATTGGAAGAGGAGAAGGAGGAAGAGGAGGGCGCGTTCGCGGTCTCGCGCGAGAAACGTCGTCAACGAAGTAGGTCGCTGGGCAGCTAGAGATAGGGTGGATAGAGAGGCGCGAGAAAATCGAGGTAGAGCGGTTTCACTGGTTCGTAAGCGTTTTCAGTTCGAATAAGGTAATCGAGCAAGAGAGAGAAAGAGAGGAGGGGACAGGAACAATACGAGTATTACTTCGCGACGTCACGTGTCAATGAGACCGCATTAGATGTATGTAGGCAACGGAGAAAAGAGACAGCCGATTAACTGAATCGTGGTGAAGGAAGGAACGAACAAGGCGCGGATAATTCGTCCTATTTTTTCTTTTTTCTTTTCTTTTTCTTTTTTTCTTTAACACCGTTACTGACCGCGATTTATATGCAGGACGCTATATAGGGATGAGAGCACGCGCGCGTCAGTAGCTAAAGGCCTTGATGCAACGCGTTGAATGATGATCGATACTATCGCGCGCGGTAGGCGTGTTTACGACAGACATTATATCGTCTACGCGGCGTCTACTTTCTTTAGGTAGCCTCTCTCGTGGGCGTAAACGCGCGTAAATGCGCTTTCTCTGAAGTCGCGGTGCCCATCTTTCTCGATCAAAGTCAGTAGTAACGAGGACGAGTTAGAAGAACCGATGATAGTCGATTAGATTTGCTGATTAATCGTGATTTGGATATACGTAATAGGATTAAGACTCATAGAATGCGTTACAGAAAGAATAAGATGAATTTTGTGTCTATTTTTAAACTGAACGGATCGGAATAACTTAGGGATCGTGTGTAAGACAGAGAGCGAATGAGAAAACGCGAGATAGCGAGTCGTAGTGTGCGTGGATCGCGTTTAGCGAAAACATTTAATTAGACTATAACGTTTAATTTATTGCGAATTTTTATTTTGAGGTTACCGACAATTGACAAAACGTAATGTGAGTTTAAGATAATGAGACAGAGACTACGAGGAAATCATTGAGCAAATGATGTAGTAAACGAATTGCAAAATCTCTTTAAGCGAACTTGCGCCGCAGGTGTGCGATCGGGATCGAGTTGAGCGAGAGTAATATAAGGGAAGATATGAATGCGACGAATCCGAGAACAAAGAGGCAATCAAGATCGTCGTGCGCAATCAGTCAGTCAGCTCTATCACTAGGTCTCGGTACTCGTAACTAGGGAGTTGTGTGAGGTACAAGTCCTGATCGGCAGGGCGCGCGAGGTCCACCCCCATCCCCCGTACTTAACCCTTGTATCTTGTATATAAAATGCAAGAAAAATGAATAATATTAAGACCCTCGAAAAAGAGAAATTGAATTCCCCTGCTGGTGTCCCGCACTATCGAAGAATGTCTTCAGGAAATTTTCTTTTTTTTATTTTTTATCTTTTAATATTGATGTTCATCAATGTACGTAAATGTGTATATAACTAACCCGTTGTTATATGTCTGTCGCAGACGAACTGGGTGTAACATATACACATACAGATCTATACACATACACGCGTGCGTGATGTGTCATTTTCGCTAAATGAAGACATTGCGTGTACTCGTGTATGTCGTTATAACAAAACGTACATGAAACCACATATATTCGCACATATACCGTGAAAACGACATGTGTACGAATACATGTCTTGAAACTTCACTTGGGAACAAATTCAAGATTACATTTTTGACGCTACACGACAGGTACGTAAAAATGAAAACCGTATGCGGGGCACCAAGTTGAAGGGATGACTTTTAAGTCCGAATATCGATTAAATGTGATGGCGATCTTCTTATTAAGATCGCTGTTGCAAGCAAATGCAAGGGTGTACGGAAATGGGAAGATGGGCTTCGGCACCGGTCGATTGGAACCCTAGTTACGAGTGCCGAGCCTAGGGCCGAGAGGATTGTGAGCCTCTTGGCTTTCATTAGGTATTGTTTAGAAAGAAAGAAAAGAAACGAAAAAGAAAACAATAAAGACTGGAGTTATATGAGAGGAACATCGAAGCATGTTTTTTCGTATTTTTACATCATGAAAAAGTAATGAAATAATTTTACAAGGATCGATTATTTCTGCGCGGAAACTTTTACATCCGATACGGAAATCGAATGATATTGACTTTTAAATTTATAAGTCAATTATTATACGAACTGATAATGCAAGCCGATAATTTTATATTGTTGTATAAATCAAGAATTTTTATGATTTATAATCGATATTTGTCAGAAAAATCGTATTTTTATCTTTTTATTGTAAATACTGCGCTTAAATGATTGATTCATGACGAATAATTTCATTGCGCGTGCAGGATTTTCGAATGTTACCGAAATAGAACAGAAAACTCGTTGTGGTAGCGCGAGTTGCATATGGAGCAGATAAATTTCGTGTTGACGAGAGAATAAAATTAAAAAATGCAGAAAATAACGTGAATACTTAGTGCCATAGGTTGCAGTGTGTGCGCGCGTTTGCACCGAGACTGTGTACTTAACTAAATACTAATCAAAAAAGATCAATTTAGCGTGTAACTCGAACATGGAATATTTGATATTTTTAGTGCTCAAGCATAGACACTGTTACCACATAATCAAAACGAAAAATATGTTCTTCCTTTTTATTATTCTGTTCAGTTTACGCTTTTTGTTTTATATTGGTAAATGGTGTGGTCGCGAAAATAATGTGATGTTTTATCGCGTTTGAAATTTTATAATATTTTTTACGTCATGCGTTTTGTTTCTGCGCATATTTTTCGCGATTTTGTGAGAAACTTATCCGATGAAAAGTACTCATGGGATAGTCGGTTCTTGCACGACGTTCGACGATTATTTTCATCGTGGCGCGAGATTGCGAGTTACGGAGAGCAAAGAAGAAGGGAGCAGATTAGTTTTATCAGTATTGCATAACGCAACATGGTATCCCCTTTTTCGATCTCGCACAGCAAAACCGCGGATGTATATGTTTGTTAATGACGCCGCGTGATATAGTTACGTT